GTGTCCTGCTACATTTGAAAACGTGTGGGATAACTAGTTTGCCACACCTGGCCTGTCGATTTTGGATCTTGTAATAGGCAGGATTCTATAATACATTTCATACGCTAATTGTGTTGTATCTTGTAGTTCATAACTGTCTATACTGGATCTCTTGTATGGTTTTTCCATATGTTGATTCTTTTCCTACTTTACCCATATTGTAAACCAAGATGTGCCTGCGATGAAAGCTCTTTGTATGTAATGTGATAACGACGTAGCTACCCATTGTTGTACACTTGCTCTGGAAAACCTTTAAAAAACCTTATTAATAATAATAATATATAATCAGATTCCAGCTGTCAGGTTTTCAATGCTAGGAAGGAAATAAATAAATGTATCTTATTGGTTGTTACAAACATAGTTTTGTTTAATCAGAATGGGCTTTTCGACCTATTGTTAGTCTTTCTTGTGAAATACACGTTTAGCACAAATCAAAGGTCATCACATTGTCCCTTTTCTACAAAAAAAGTGATTTTTGTTGTCTATGCCCCAATTTTAATAGTGTAAAAAAAATATTTTTAATGGGGAGACAATCAGCAATAAAAAGGGTTCCAACCCTTCCCCAATCTGTGTACAAGTTTTTTTTTTAAAAAAAGAAGAGGAAGCACCAATTTAAACACACATTTTACAAGAAGATTTACATTTGTAAAGTGATAATGGATTAATTATGGGTCGTGTAAACTGATAATGACCCAATTAACCCTAGATTCCAAAGGCACCAGTGTAGTCAGAGTGCGCTAACTTCTGCTTTATGGATTTCCATGGGGACAAGTAACACAAGACAACTAGGCTCATTTTAAAGCAGACATAGCAATTCAATAAACCCATATAATCTGTTGTCTGCAGTAAAGGGCATTTGTTGATGAGCTGGTACTTGTACCTTCTGTCTGATCCCACGCTTGTTTCCTATGTGTGTCATGGTGGGTCAGGATTCTACATCTGATGCAACAGGAGATGGGTCCTCAGGACAAGGGATGGGACTTTCCTTTCACTTACCAAAGTTGACATGAAAACACTAGAATCATTGAGATTGGTTTATTTAAGGAGCTGATAAAATTCACTCAATAAATCAAGAGAATATTGGTTTCAATTATCTAGTTGTGTGAAAAGCAAATTCCTTTCTACTTATTTCATCTGCACATTATTGGGTATTCAGAATGAATAGGGATTTGCTTTGCATGTGATTTGGATAATTAATGTGAATATTCGCTTGATTTATTGAACAAAGTTTAATTTACTGTATTTAAAGTCGACATGTTACTTAATGCTTTACAGAATGTAATTTTTCCAATGTTGTAGTTTTTACAATTTTGTAAATGCATGAAGTAGAAGAAGCAGCACCTGTCATAAAAGTATATCATAGCCTTTTTGCCTGATCAAGGATCTAGTGTGCTTAACCTCTTCTCCCCGCAGTCTCCTGGGCCTTTAACAGGTTTCTAAATGCCGGGAGGTGAAGACGGGCATTCAGATCATGTGACCACTGGCAGTCACAGCGGTCACATGATTAGAAAGCTCCCAATTTCAAGTATGCATCAGGAGCTTTTCCAGTAACTGTGCTGGGAGTGTGCAGGAAGCCCGCTTTCAGCTTTGTAAAATGTTCACATAGGGACTCATGTATGAGGCAACTAGACATTAAAGCTCACCCTTCGAGAGGCAACATATATGCGTACGGAAGTGGGTAAAGCAGTATTAAATCCAAAAACCAACATTTACTATATTGTTGCATACCTGTAGTGGCTGCGTTACTTTTCATTTTTGTCAGATGGTCATCTGACTAGTTACACATTTCCTGTCTTAGGGTGTCTCTAATATGGATGGAGGAGCAATGGAGCCACACTTGGACAGCAGCATTGTCAGTCTAGGGATAGGGTAGTGTTGAACTGGCAGATTTAGATTTCACTAACAAATTAAAAACCCAAACTCCAGCTAACACTTTTTAATCAATTTACATCCAACAGTTTTTTATTTCCAAGTGGAATTAAGGTTTTACATAAATGAATAAAAGCTGAACATTGTAAGCACTCCTGTTAGTGTTATATGGTTTGACTCAACCCTCTAACTGCCACTTTTTCTGGACAGCTTGGTCTTTTGAAAAAAATATCAAACTTACTGGCAATCAACAGGTGAAAATAAAGGAAAGAAAGCCTAAATAAGAAAACTAATGTAGCCACCACATCTAAGAATTGGTAAGCTGCAATATAATAAATGTTTGGTTTTGGGTTGAATATTGCTTCTTTATAGAAATATTATTGTAGCAATAATTTAATATAAATTGGTCTATTTGTCATCGTTATTACAAGGTACGTACATCTTATGTTACTATACATTTTAGAGAAAATAAAGGAAAAAAATGTGTATGACACATCGTAACAGCTACATTAACTGAAAGCTGTATTAAACCCAAAAGCAAACATGTATTATTTTGCAGCATACCTATTCTTAGATGTGGTGACTGCATTGGTTTCCTTTTTAGGCTTTCTTTTATTTTCACCTGGTGATCCAGCCAGCATGTCTGTTATTTTTCAAAAGAACAAGCTCTCCTGCAGATGTATTACTTACATGGATGAGACAAACCATTTACCACTTACAGAGGTGCATACAATGATCAGTTTTTATTTTATTTATTTATGTAAAACCCTTATCGCAAAAGAAAAAAAAATGTTGCTGTAACTGCTTATAAAGTATTAAGTAGAGCCTAGCTTCAATTTGTTAGTATATCTAAATCTGTTAGTACATTTACCACTCCCCTCCCCCCCAGAATGTCAATGCTGCTGTCCAAAGGTGCCCCTGTACTCTTTCATCCATAATGGAGGCACTCTAATACAGGAGATGTGTTACTGGCAAGATCACCAGGTGAAGAAAAGAGGGAAGAAAAGCCTAAGAAAAGAAAACTAATGAAGCCACCACGTCTAATGATTGGTAAGCTGTAATATATTAAAATTTTTGGATTTGGGTTTAATACCGGCTAAAAAAAAAAACTGTGGATAATTTTTTGCTTTTTTTGCTTTTTTTTCTATATTTTAGTTCAAAGTACTTCAAAAGATGTCACAAACACACATCAAACAGTGTAAATGCATGCATTGCATCTATTGTATACAAATGTCACTTCTGGATAAAACCCAATGCTGGAAGTGATTGTCATACAAAACCAGATGTATGTGTAGCCACATAAGCCAATATTTGATCTATACAGCAGCATAAGTGCTTCTAATTTATGGATATGGTGCTGTCAACATCAAGTGAAAGTAAACTAGTTAATCAACCCCATTTATCATAGTAGTCACTCAGCTTTTGACTCAGAGAGAAATCATTTTATTACACAGAGCAATGCTTTTGAATCAGACAGAAATGATTGTATTACACAGAGCATCAACTTGTACCATAGTCTGCCTTTACTAATATGGCAGAACCAGGGGCGGACTGACCATTTGGAAACTCAGGCACTACCCGAGGGCCCGCGGTCAGTAGGGGGCACCATGAGATGCCCTTGGTACCATTTTGTAGGCTTTTTTGAGTTTGGGCAAGGACACAGGGGCCCCATGATCTCCTATTGCCCGGGGGCCCCATGAGTTGTCAGTCCGCCCTGGGCAGAACACCATTATTTTTACTTTGTGATCGCCACAGGCCTTCTGGTTTCACATTTTCTTACATTTCCTTCCATTAACTCCTCATTGCACTACCACGGTCTCATACAAAACTTTCAACTAATATAACTACATTGCGCAATGGAACAGGCCACTTATTCCCACAAGGCCAGAAACATATAGGCTAACGTTCTCCCTGTAAGCACCAGAGAAATGCCAAAAACCAAGCAAACTGTGAGTGCCGATCCAAGCTGTCATCCTATGATAGTCCCGTGACTCACATTGATTCTGGGTAGCCAGTGCTAAGAGAGCCTTTGCTTGTTAAGTGCACAGTTAAATGAAAAAGGATTGAAAGTAAGACTGGCTTCAGTCCAACTCCTCCCAGGCCATGCCCCCTGATGTGTTTCACCTCGCCCACAGGGTGTAGTCATAAGTCATGTGGATGGGATGAAATGCGTTGGGGTGACCTGGGCGGAGTTGCTCTGAAGCTTCTCTTACACTTCTGTCCACCTGGGCTGTTTTGTTTTTTGAAGCACATGGTCTCATCCTCCTTCCTTTAGGAGAAATGCCATAGTCCTGGAAACAATACAAAGGAGCATCACTAAAATCTAAAACATGGCCCTGTTTTTTGGACTTTCTTTATTTTTCAGCCCAAGTGAAAAGAGCCCCTAGGACAGAGGGAAACGGTGAATCACCCTGGTGGAGACATAGACAGTAATAAAAACCTAAAGGAGTTCCAAAACTAAAAACAAACATTTGGCTTTGGATACATTTAACCACGTAAAGTCCGGACACTTTCACCCCCTTCCTGTCCAGGCCAATTTTCAGCTTTCAGTGCTATCACACTTTGAATGACAATTGCGCAGTCATGCAACACTGAACCCATATGAATTTTTTAGGATTTTTTGAGACAGATTCAACTTTATTTTGGTGGTATTTATTCACCACTTAGAGTTTTTATTTTTTTGCTTTTTTTGGAATGAAAAATTCCAAACATTTTGAAACAAAAGTGTTTTTCTTATAAAATGTTTCAAATATATAATTTTTCTTCACAAATCATGGCCAAAATGTATTCAGCTATCTTTTTAGTAGAAAAAAAAAAAAAAAATTAGTTTTATAACCAAAAATTATAATTTCACATTTTTTATTTTTTTTAATGTTATTACTCATGTTTTTTTTTTTTTTTTGTTACCATACTGTCACCCTAGCAGTACAGTGTCACCATAGTGACACTGTACTACTTGTGGGGGTTGATGAAGAGTTATTTTTTTTTTTTTTGTTTGCACTGATTGCTTTTACACCCATAAAGGCTGTAAACTGTAAAAGCAATCATTTCTCAATCATTAAAGCATTCCTGCAGCCATTAAGAAATACTGTGAGAGCTGTGAATGGTCACAGCTTGTCACATACAAGGTTGTTGTGAATAGCCTTGTACCATGTGACCTCTGTGATCATTCACAGATTTAACATGTAGTAAGCAATGATGTCAGAAGTGACATCTTGCTTACTATTATTCATGTGATCACTGATTGGCCAGTCAGTGATCACATAATCGGGACCTCACACAGAGGTCCCGTACAGTGATCGTGGTGCAGCGCGCTCCTAGGGAGCGTGCACAGGCAGGGAAGAGGGGAGGACGTTTATAAAAGTCTACCCGCTCCTGCACTGCTCTCGTCTGGCCGTTTATATACATGGGCCAGGCGGGAAGTGGTTAATTAACAATATAAATTGAATGTATTATTAAGATAAGGATTTTACTATAAAACTGAACTTACAGTGGGGATCTTCACAAAATAAGTTGTACAAACGTCCAGATCGATCAGAGTAAAAAGGGGTAGGTTAGAAATCATTTAAATACAATGTGTAAATGAATATGATTTTTAATTTTTGACCATAGATACATTTTAAAGCCCAACTCCAGACAAACACTTTTATTTTGTTTAAGATAGAGTTAGAGGCTCTGTCAAGCTTTTATTGTTGCTTCTTTTAGGACAAAATGTGATAGCAAATCTCTTGAAAGGGAACACAGACAAAATAACAAATCCCATTTGCAGTAGATTAAGGAAGGGTTAGAACGTTGTAACACATAGTTTTTGTTGTGCCTGCCTGTCCTGATTATGTGCACCTCCCATCCACCATTTCATGTACAGGTATCATCACAGAGTCAGAAAGTGAAAAATCATCACCCCAATGGGATCAAAAAAAGAGAGAAATAAAAACCTAAGAAAAATGTCAACCCTTCCATACTATATCCAAAACTTCAAAATAGGAGTGTACTATACCATTGAAAAGCTTACATCTGGCAAGTATTGTAGTTTTATATGGAGATCTGCCAATACTGTTTTCTATTGAACACAAGCAGTGAGCTGGTACAGGGGGGTGTTTAAACTTTAGCAAGCTTTGGGAGGAGTAAGTGACAGAACTTTATCCCTGTGCTAGGAGCAGGGGAGGACTGACAACTCATGGGGCTCCCGGGCAATAGGGGATCATGGGGCCCCTGTGTCCTTGACCACACTCAAAGCACACCCAAAAAAGCCTATAAAAGGTACCAGGGGCATTTCATGGGGCCCCCTACTGACCCTGGGCCCTCGGGCAGTGGCCGAGTGCTCTAATGGTCAGTCCGCCCCTGGCTAGATGTATTCAGGGAATAGCGGTACGTTCACTGTAATGGCAGTGCCACTACCTTTCCATTGCTTTCCTGTCATTCTGCTCAATTCCCAGAAGTGAAGAGAAATACCCTGTACCTCTGGGTATAAGGATCATGTGACTCACTCTTCTTCCCCCTATGTAACCACACTAGTGACTGGTAATTGGTTGTTCAGGCACAGAGTCTTAAGCCCTATGTCATCTCCATGTTGTGACATAAGGGTTCATTAACTAAAAACTGGAGAGTGCAAAATTTGGTGCAGCTCTGCATAGAAACAAATCAGCTTCCAGGTTTTATTGCCAAAGCTTTATTGAACAAGCTATAGGTAGAAGCTGACTGGCTACCATGTACAGCTGCAACAGATTTTGCACTCTCCAGTTTTAGTACATTAACCCCATAGTGTCTACCCAGGGCTTCCTCTCTTCACTCCCAGGCAGCTAAAAGGTAATGGAATGTATATATGGGCAGCTGATAGGGCCACTATTAAATGTAAGCTGCTGGTTCATTTATAAGGAATGGGCAAGACCTCCATCAGAAATAGACCATCAACTTTGAGAAATAACTATCATCAGGACCTCCAGGGTTGGAGAATCCTAGAACCTGAGCATTGATCACATACTTGTGTGGATCCTCTTGGTTAGAAGTAAGCATGGGCTCCTCCAAGGTTTGGTGTCTTTCCCAGGAACCTACATAGGGAGGTTAGAGCTTTGCAGTTGGGTACTACCAGGACAGGGAACCCCTGGGTTTGCCACTCTGGTGATGAGGTGATAAAGCACAAAAATTCCATAAACAGTGGGAGGTAGGCAAAGTTCAGGCAAATGCAAAACATGGGCTGACAGTTGGGTCATGTTTCAGACAGATGAAGAGCATGAGCTATGGAACAGACATGAGAAGTACCAATTTTAGAAGACCAAAGAAACACACAAGAACAGAAGATAACAGGAGAAATCTTATATATATATATATATATATATATATATATATATATATATATATATAATCTTTATATAATCTAATATATATCCTTAGGGATTGATCAAAATAGACACAGGTAAAGGGAGCTTGGAGACACAGAGTAAAGCTAGCCATACTCTATGTGAATGGCTGGTTCCTGATGAACTAGAAAACATTTCTACGTGGGTGGCCCTGATGCTACCCTACCATCCAACATCTTTTGAATGAAAAATCAAAGGAGCTGGACAAAATAATCATTAACCCACTGCTGGCATTGGCTGCATTAGCCACAATGGGAAATTCCCTCCATCACTATACAGTATAAATGGAGGAATCTGTTTGGTTTATTTTGTTCGTCCTGCAGGCTAAACTATTGGTTGGCTTGACAAAATAAATTTGTGTATGATCAGTATAAGAGGTACATGCAGGCTAGCATAGGAAAAGCTGTAGTCTAAATCCAAAGCACAATGGGGTTGATTTGCTAAAACTGGAGAGAGAAATCTGGTGCAGCTCTACAGGAACTAATCATCTTCCGGGTTTTATTGTCAAAGCCTAACCACTTCAAGTCTGGACACTTTCACCCCCTTCCTGTCCAGGCCAATTGTGAGCTTTCAGTGCTATCACACTTTGAATGACAATTGCGCTGTCATGCAACACTGTACCCATATGAATGTTTTAGCATTTTTTTGAGACAGAAAAAAACTTTATTTAGGTGGTATTTATTCACCACTGGGATTTCTTTTTTTTTGCTATATAAATGAAAATGTTCAAAAATTTCAAAAAAAAAAGTTTTTCTTATAAAATTTAGCAAAAAAATTATATTTCTTCATAAATCTTAGCCCAAATGTACTCATCTATCTTAAAAACAAATAACCCAAATTAGTTTATAACCAAAAATTATAATTTTTTCAAAACTTTTTTTACATTTTTATTTTATTTTTTTATATTATTATTTATGGGTTTTTTTTTTTTTTTTTAACATACTGTCACCCTAACAGTACAGTGTCACCATAGTGACACTGTACTACTTGTGGGGGGTAATGATTTTCTCTTTTTTTCTTTTTTTTACACTGATTGCTTTTACACATTTTTTGCTGATTTTTACACTGATTGCTTTTTACACATAAAAGCTTTTACATTTTTATTTTTTTATATTATTATTTATGTTTTTGGTTTTTTTTTTCTTACTGTCACCCTAGCAGTACTAGCACTGTACTACTTGTGGGGGGTGATGAAAATTTTTTTTTTTTTACACTGATTGCTTTTATACCTATAAAGGCTGTAAAAGCAATCATTTTTCCTTCTCTCCGGCTGCATTTTTGCAGCCATTAAGAAATACTGTGAGAGCTTTGATTGGTCAGAGCTTGTCACATGGTACAAGGCTGTTGTGAATAGCCTTGTACCATGTGACCTCTGTTATTCACAGATTTCACAAGTAGTAAGCAATGATGTCAGGAATGGACATCTTGTTTACTACTGCTCATGTGATCACTGATTGGCCAATCAGTGATCACATGTTCGGGACCTCACACAGAGGTCCAGTACAGCGATCGGACACACTGGGCACTTGACGCAGCAGGCACCAGATCACAGTGCCGCACACTCCCAGGCAAGGAATGCGGGTGCTGTTTATAAATGGCAACCCACTGCTCCCGTCCAGCCGTTTATGTACACGGGCCAGATGGGAAGTGGTTAATTGAACAAGCTGAAGTTGGAAGCTTATTGACTACTACGCACAGCTGCACCAGATTTTGCACTCTACAGCTTTAGTAAATCAACCCAGTATTACTGTCATCACTATCATTTAAAACACATGGCCCAGGAAGATGCACCTGCAGTGGATGTTTGTTGAGCTTTAGATGAACTGCTTTATAAATACACAACTGCATTTACATTGAATTTTGTTATATAGCCTTTTTTAATAGTTAAAATATTTTACATTAGTTTGGGGTGGATTCATCACTTAGTTTAGAAAGCGATCATTTACATTTCTGTTGAAAATTTAATGCAAGACTTCAAAGAAGTTTGGTGCTTTTAGTACTGTGGGGGTTGAATTATGTAAAAGCTTTACCAAACAGAGTAGCAGCCACACACTGGATGTTCATGGCTAGAGGTGATTACATTTTACACAGCAAATGTCCCAAAATTGTTTTTCCTGGAGTTCAGCTTTAGATGTGATCAGTGGAAAAAAATACTCTATTGATCCCGACAGAAATCAAGCTAGTTCCTTACTTCCTATGTACTCTGACTCTTTTGTCAGTTAGCATTGTTTCCAGTTCTCTCTGTGGACTAGAGAACCCCCCCCCCCCCTTTGTTACGGAGATATGGAGAGGGGGGATGTTCTGTAGACCTAAAACACTTGTTGCCATAGCGTGACAACACTGCTTCTACACAGATAAAGTACAGTGTGTAAGATTTGTCACAATAGGACAGAAAATGTGTTAATCACACCAGGGGGGGGGGAATCCTGAAAAAAGACTCCCAAAACCAATGAAGCCACCACATCTAAGGACTGCTAAGCTGCAAAAATATAAAAATGTTGTTCTTGGGTTTAAATATACTTTAAAGGCTGACTTCTATTATATATTTAAAGTGTCATCAGGGGCGGACTGACCATTTGGAAACCCAAGGGCCCGGGGGTCAGTAGGGGGCCCCATGAGATGCCCCTGGTACCTATTTCATAGGCTTTTTTGAGTTTGGCCAAGAACACAGGGGCCCCATGATCCTCTATTGCCCAGGGGCCCCATGAGTCGTCAGTCCGCCCTGAGTGTCATTAAACCTACATGCTTTTCATACTCACTCAGTCACTATGGGATTTGTTTTCTGCATTCTGCAAAAACCTGGTTGATCCTGCTGCTCTCTATCTCCCCCTGCTGTTCATGCACCCAATTCAGCTGGGGATTTTGCAGAGCAGTGTTGGCAGCTAGTGCACATGCTCAGATTTCTGTTTTCTACCCCTGTGCAAAGAAACAAGCAAAGAGCGCACAGGCCTAGTGCATTACCTTCTAAAAATTAGATTTATTGAATAAAAAGTAGTATACTCACAAAAGAATCAAATCAAAGGCACATCACAAAAAAGACAGCATGGTCCAATCTCCCTAGATGGTGGCTCTAACGAAGAGGTTCTGCCTCAAAACGCATCAACAGCCGCCATCTAGGGAGATTGGACCATGCTATCTTTTTTGTTATGTGCCTTTGATTTTATTCTTTTGTGAGTATACTACTTTTTATTCAATACATCTCATTTTAGAAGGTAATGCACTAGGACAGTGCGCCCTCTGTTTGTTTCTTTGCACACAGCTTCTTTGGATTTCCCTGGTCCATTGAGGGCAGCAAGGCTTGCATTCCCAAAAAGTACTCCATGTGGGGTTACTGACATTGTGGAGCTCAATGTCCAGCTCAGGAGTTTCAGCATTCATTTGCTCATGCTTTTTTATTTTCTACCCCTCCCTATCTCATCTGAGAAGCCCATGTGACTATAGAATCACACATGTGGACGTGTTTTGGTAAATGACACCCCACTCTCTCCCTCCTTCTCCTCCATACCCACTATACAGCTACACACAAGGGCGGTGGGATATGACATCTTGATTGATGGTGGCTTCACCTCCCTGTTATTCTAAGAAAAAGGGTGGAGGAACGTGACTGGCAAAAATCCACCCACACCATGTTGTTGCCAAAAAATAATAATGATTTTATTTCAAATATAAATTTGTATGACAATTTAAAAGGTTTATTGATATTTATTTTTTATTGTAACCCAAACGCTGTGTTTTTGTTTGTTTTTTGAACATGTGACCAGCAGCAGAGGACTAGAAGTTCCTCCTGCCACTGTTTCTAGGCTGGGAAAAAGCTGGATCATGTGACAACTGCATATTAATTAGGAAAAAGTTTGCTTAGGTTTTTTTTTTTATTAAGATAATTACAGTGCCATCATCCACATAGAGAAAGAAAAAGGATCATGTAAATGAAACAGTGTGTGTTTACTATCACTTTAAGACACGGTATTTAAAGACATGAAGTGTTAATGTGAGATAGAAGGTTTTTATGTCTGTGTGTTTTTCAGGGATCGGCCAAGCTGGAGAAAGCTGAGATTCTCCAGATGACAGTGGACCATTTAAAGATGCTGCAGGCTACAGGAGGTAAAGGTACGGCTTGCACTGTCTGTACTTCTTACACTGTAAAAGAGCATGGCAATCTAAGCAAACATCTCTTTGACAAGCGCTTGCTGGCGGATCCAGATAAAAGAGTCTCCTCCAAATCAATGCTAATGGTAGGACTGAACTCGTGGGAACGAAGTTCAGGCACAAAAGAAGCACTTGACCCTGGGCTTGTGTTTGCTTTCATAACACTGTGGGAGTAAAAGCTCAATTCACAGACAGTCCAGCCACAGATTTGTTTGGGGTTTGCAAAGACAGTGAAAATCTGTGTGCAGAGACAAAACAAACACACAAACATCAGAGAAAATAAACAGGAGGACTGGAGGCCTACCATTGTACTCCATGGTGTCTGCCTGGAAGGGAGGAAGTACAGGAGGATAGCTCCATTTATTGCCCACACAGATTTGTGGGGCACAGAAAAGAGCAAGCCGATGTATATACACACACACAATGACCATAAAGGAAATGGAGAGAGTAATTGTTCCTGTGCTTATCCCAGCACGGAAATTCACTTCCTGGTGACTTTCTATGAGCAAGGAACTTCACAGTCAAATTTCAGAACATTCATTCTATAGTCATTGTTAAATATTTCACTTGGAGGTTAACCCTGCAAAAATGGAAACCAGCAGAGTAGTGCCATAGAGTTGGTGTTGGTGCGAAGCGAACTAATAGATAAAAGATAACGGTGAAACGTCGGAAAAACTGTTTCATTCACTCAACACCAAGATAAACATAGACATTCAAACTGTACAGTTGCACATGTTTATGGAGCTGATGAATTAAAACACAAGAAAATAAGCACATAATTGAACTTTTTGCCAATAGCAACCAATTGGGATTCCCCGTTCATTTCATCGAATAATATTACAAGAATTCTGATTGGTTAAAGCATAAGTTTAGCTACAGAAAAAAAATACAAAATAAGCACAAGGGACATTACTGACCTGCAGTGTGATGTGTCCTTCATGCTGCTGTCTACTAGTTCAGTAGAAATTTTCCAACCTCTAATGACCCACCACTCCCTCTGCCATGTACTTCCAGTGCAACAGGTGCTAATAGAACTAAGGGAGCTGTCATAGGCTCTCATCAAGAGTGCCCAACTATGCCCACCCATTCCGCCCAGATACTCCATTCATAGAAGCTGGTAGTAAAGCTCAGTTACATGTTTGGTCTTCAGCGAATATGTCTGAAGGATGCAATACAAATTAAAAATCTTCAATCGTTTTTTTTTTTTTTTTTTTTTTTTTTATTATTTTATTTGAGTGCATCAATACTACTTTGCTTTTTGACTTAGTTGAAAATGTGGGCTGCATTCTTAGCAACATATCTGGTTTCCAATAAATTGGCAGGCTGCATTTTCTATTATGTTTCTGGTATCTAGTGCATAGGCAGAACACATTTACAGAGACATCTCTGGTGTGGAATGGGTAGGGATGGGGTAGTGAATGGGTAGACTGGAGTCTCTAGTGAATGGGTAGACTGCAGTGACATGTCTGGTCTCTAGTGAATGGGTAGACTGCAGTCTCAGTGACATGTCTGGTCTCTAGTGAATGGCAGTCTTAGTGACTGCAATGGTCTCAGTGACATGTCTCAGTGGTCTCTAGTGAATGGGTAGACTGCAGTCTTAGTGACATGTCTCTAGTAAATGGTAGACTCAATCTCAGTGAATGTCTGGGAATGAGTAGACTGCAGTCTAGTGACACGTCTGGTCTCTAGTGAATGGGTAGACTGCAATCTCAGTGACATGTCTGGTCTCTAGTGAATGGGTAGACTGCACTGCAGTCTTCGTGACATGTCTGGTCTCTAGTGAATGGGTAGACTGCAGTCTTCGTGACATGTCTGGTCTCTAGTGGGTGTAGGGGTGTGTATTTACCACAAGGCAAATAAGGCATTTGCCTAGGGCAGAATTTTGCAGGGGGGGCAGCACTGCCCTCAGAAGAAGGGATGAAAGAAGGGACACATGTGGCATGGGGACCTGGTGGGTCCTGAGACAGGCTGCGGGTTTCATGACAGTGTATGCACAGCTGACTCTCATTCCTGGGGATGTCCGGAGCTGTGAAAGTGAGTGTCTTTCTCTCAAGGCTCTCTCTCGGGTGGGAGGCAGGAGTGTTGTTGGTCAATGTTAGCCTCTTTGCATGGGGGGGGGGGGATTTTTGTGTTGCCTAGGGCAGCACAAAACCTAAATATGCCACTGGGTAGACTGCAATCTCAGTGACATGCCTGGTCTCCAGTGAATGGGTAGACTGCAAGTCTCAGTGACATGTCTGCTCTCTAGTGATTGGGTAGACTTCAATCTCAGTGACATTTCTGGTCTCTAGTGATTGGGTAGACTGCAATCTCAGTGACACCTCTGGTCTGTAGTGAATGGGTAGACTGCAGTCTCAGTGACACGTCTGGTCTCTAGTGAATGGGTAGAGTGCAATCTCAGTGACACGTCTGGTCTCTAGTGAATGGGTAGACTGTAGTCTCAGTGACACGGCTGATCTCTAGTGAATGGGTAGGCTGCAATCTCAGTGACACGTCTGGTCTCTAGTGAATGGGTAGACTGCAATCTCAGTGACACGTCTGGTCTCTAGTGAATGGGTAAACTGCAATCTCAGTGACACGTCTGGTCTCTAGTGAATGGGTAAACTGCAGTCTTAGTGACATGTCTGGTCTCTAGTAAATGGGTAGACTGCAGTCTCAATGACTTCTATGGTCTATATTGAATGAATGGACTGCAATCTCAACTACCTGTTTGGTCTCTAGTGAATAGGTGGACTGTATTCTCGGTGACATGCCTGATCTCTATTGGATGGGTAGACTGCAATCTCAGTGACATTTCTGATCTTTAGTGAATGGGTAGACTGCAATCTTAGTGTCATGTTTGACCTCTTGTGAATGCTTAGAGTGAAATCTTGATGACGTATCTTGTCTCTAGAGAATGGGTGGACTGTATTCTCTGTGATATGTTTCATCTCTATTGGATGGATGAACTGCAATTTCAGTAACATGTCTGGTCTCCAGCAAATACGTGCAATAATTCACTGAATGAGTAGACTGCATTTTCAGAGAAAATCGCTGGTCTCTAGTAAATGTACAGGCTGCATTCCCATGGATGTCTGCAGTTATAAGTAGCTTGATGGGCTGCTTTCTCAAGGACGTCATTTGTCTATAGAGAATGGATAGACTGCAATTTCTGTGCTATCTCTGATCTCTAGTGAATGGATGGGCTGCATTCTCAGTGATGTCAACAATCATAAGTAAATTAGTTTTCTTAGTGATGTCATGAGTCTCAAAGTGAAAGGACTGCTTACTTTCCAGTCTCCAGTAAATGGATATGGCTGCATTCTTATGTGAAACATACCGGAATCATATAATATGTAAATCATGCTCAGCTCCCTTCCGCTTTTCATTTTTACAGACTGTAATTAGAACAAGCAATCTTGAATATCATCAGTTAGTGGCAGTCTGAAGCCTGAACAAAAGCAGATTTTCAGCCAGGTCTGTTGATGACAGTATTATCCAACCATTTACATGGAGAAGAGTATATCGGACGTGTTAGAAAACATGTCCCGATATCTATTGTTCCCCTGATCGGCAGGTCGTTTGTGTCTGGCTCCCCACCACTTTTCCCCTTTCCATCAACATATATTTGTAAGATTGAGAAATCTTTTCTGCAGAAAGCTTGTTCTGAGGGCAGTAAGATCATGCATGCTTGAACAACCACCTTAGAAGTCTATAGATCAGCAAGATTTTTTTAGCCACTGCACTAATAGCCAATGGATTATTAAAATTACTGATAGAGTCCTTGTAATAAGACATGAAAGGAAAAGTGACAATGTATGTTATATATATAGCATCGCATAGCAACAAATCTAATGACATTTTTTTTATCAGTTAGTGGGATTAAACATATATGATTAATGATTTGTTTGTGCACTGATTTGGCAACCACATTAACAGGTCCCTGTGATGCCACAAGTCACTTCACTTTCTTTTATTAATGCTTGATCCGGTTTGATTTGTTTGCTTATGTGTGTGTCCAAAGTGAAAAGCGATTCTAAGTATTTTGGTAACGACAGCAGGGATTGAAGATTTTTTTTTATTTCAGGTACTTATATAGAGTCATCAATTTAAACAGAGCAATACATAAGTATTATACCTTCACATCAGTCCCTGCCCCCAAGGAGCTTTCAGTCTAAGGTCCCTAACTCACATTCATACACATACCAGGACCAATTTAGACAGGAGCCAATTAACCTACCAGCATGTCTTTGGAGTGTGGGAGGAAACCCATACAGTCAAAGGGAGAACATGCACGTAGTGCTGTGTTTGAGATCCAAACTGACAACCCTAGAGCTGCCAGGTGGAAGTGCTAACCACTTAGCCACTGTGATTTTGCATTTCCTTCACATACACCTACCGAAGTAATCAGACGTAGCCCAGGTAAACTCTTTCTTACCCCTTTAATTGTATTAAATTATATTATGGCCATACTGTTGAAGAAAAGTTTTTTTTTCAGCATCCTTTGCCTAGTTATTTTAAATGTAGTCTTTTTATATTATCACAGTGAAGAGAAAACCTATTGTCCTGAAGCTAGCTTGTGAGGCGAAATATGAACATGAAATATATATGTTTCACACAGGCTTCAGTTTTGCAAGTAGTGCGAACAGCAAGCTTTTACTAAGAGTTTGCAGAGATTTCAGCCAGCTTTGTTGAAGCGTTTAAAGTACCAGCTCCAGTTTTTAAATGTTAAAGTGATACTAAAGCTAAAAACAAATCAAATCAAAACAGTCAAACAAATGCAGTGAGGAGGAAGTGGTGGGGCAGGGCTAAGTTCGCACAGCTCCATAGAAACACAGCTCAGGAGCAAGCAGACAGCATGTGCCCCCTTAGAAATGTCTTGTTATGGGGACACACAAAGAAGAGGTGGAGCCAAGATCAGTGGTGGGGAACACAAGAAGAGGCATATCGAGGCCGCTCTTTGCAATACCATTGCACAGAGC